TAATTTTTTTTTAAATATTTAAACGATACGCTTATTGAAAGATGGTTCCAGTCGAACGTAACACCTAAATCAGGATTTTCAACCACCCTATGAAATAAAATATTGAATTGATAATAAATTAATAAATAATAATCATGGAAAACTGGAGGCCTGGGAAATGATATGACTATGCACATCATAGTGTCTATAAATTATTATAATATCCTTCTCCCGAATTGTATTCAACCTATTCCAAAAAGATTACACGTGCGTTTAATACATTTTCACATACTTATCGACTTATTGACTTTATTTTTAGAATCATTTCTTTACTCGGATTATTTTTAATATCCGTCGGCACTGGGGGCATAAAACCGTGCGTTTTCGCGTTCGGTGGCGATCAGTTCCGTTTGCCTGAACAAGAAAAACAGCTGCTACACTACACTACCAAGTTCATGTTCGCAATCAACGTTGGCGCATTATTTTCGACGTTTCTGACGCCCGAATTGAGGCAGAGCGTACACTGTCTTGGCAGAGACACGTGTTTTCCGTTGGCTTTCGGTGTGCCGGCCGTGCTCATGTTGACTACCATCGGTAATTATGATCGTCATATTATTATAACGACGGGGGAAAGACTCCACCGATTTAAGCGCTTATTATTTATTTCACCGTAACCGCTTCAATGTGACGTGCATCAGATGAAAATAAAATAAAATATCTCTTTGTCACCGTGACTAATCCTCCTAACGATTGCCACACTGCAGCCCTCGTGCTCCTCGTCTTATATGTCATTTTTCTTTTAACGATGTATAATATCTATTATTATCTATAATAATATACACCCTGCAAAAACGATTAATTGCTGTACATTTATATAATATGCCACAGTGTTATTCGTATCTGGGAAAAAAATGTACGTGATAAAGAAACCGGAACACAACGTCATCGGCAGGACATTCGGTTGCATTTTCGTAAGTAAAATGTTAAACGTTCTTCATAAAACGTGACGAGTTGAAATCGATATCGGAAGAATCGATAGTCGATAAGGTACCTACGTCTCATGTACTCGCTTCAAATCTCCATGTTTAATTTTTTAAGTACGCGCTGCGCGCGAAGATGACGTCACGGGCTCCGAGCCAAACACACTGGCTGGAAAACGCTAAGGGAGTGTACACCGAAACGGAAATATCGGATACGAAGACAGCCCTGGACGTGATCCGCGTGTTTGTGGCTTATCCGGTGTTTTGGTCGCTATACGAACAACAGGTAAGATAATCGTAGATACGAATGGCGGACAATTTTCCCCCCGACTGTTTTTGGCGTAGTAGGACATTTCCCCCCCCATTTTTTTTTTAAAGTTTATTATTGAATAATATAATATTATTTATTATTTAATAAGAAATTATTTTTTTTCATAAATATAATAAAACGTAAACAATTTGTATATAAGTAAAAATGTAAAATAGGTTAAAAATTTCATTTTTTTTTTTTCATAAATGTAATAAAAATTGTATAACAAAACGTAAAAAAATTATATAAGTATAATAGTCTAAAAATGTCGACAATAAAATGATATATTTTGTAAAAAACATTTAATTTCTGGTTCTTTTTTTATATCTAAGCACATATTTTGTAATCGTCTTTCATATTTATTATTTTTTGTAAAAAAAAACCGTACCTGTTTAATTTTTAATAATTTATTAATTGCCATTGAATTTGACTTTTGTAGTGCTTCAATAAACATCCAAATATTTGGATGCTGAGTTCTTACCAAAGTCTTAAATTTATTATTGAAACCTTCACTTATATTATTTATTCTACCTGTGTTTTTCTTTGTAGCATTATGTACATTCCATAAATAATATTATTTAATATAAAAATAATATTTTATTAAAAAAATAACTAATTTATTATTAAATAATAAATTATATTATATTATTCAATAATAAACTTTAAAAAAAAAATGGAAGGGTGGAAATGTCCTACTACGCCAAAAACAGTCGTGGGTGGGGGGTAAAATGTCCGGGGGGAAATTGTCCGGATACCGTAGGTACCTACATTAATATAATAACATAATAACCCAAAAATCAATTAACTATGACTCCGTAATCAGATAAAAGTTGTAAGCCAAAATGTACAATTGTACCTTGATCCAGATTTTTGGATCACAATCGGTCATGTATTAAAGTACTAATCGAATATATATACGATGCAAACGTTTAAAATATAAAAATCTTCCTCTCTAGCCTGGAAACATTTTAATCGAACAATATTTCTCGGTATGATAGGAATGAATTCAAATTCAGGAACGTATTGTGTAATTGTRTATAAAATAATTAGACAACAAATACAGAGTACAATAGTGATAAGGCTACGTTAAAATTCAAACACCGGCTACAAGAACAGCCTTGTATGCGATAATTATTGTGTTCATGGCATGACCGGTGTTTTGGTCTCTAATCGAACAACTGGTCTATGGTATGTGTTTATTGTTATAACCGGTGGTGGTGGCGTGGCTTTTTGCTTCTATGAAATGACGGTTTAAAATAATAAGTATTATTTTTGACATGATTTTAATATAAGAATCGCTTATAAACGACTCTATCAATACTCACTGGCCACCCACTTCTTTACCACGAAGCGGTCGTTTCATAAAATAGGTATTTACGCCACTGCAGCTCCGATCATAGGATTCGTAAATTCTACATTGATATATATATTGTTGCATGTGTGACGTCACTTCCGTTCTTCCACAGGGTTCCCGATGGACGTTACAAGCCATGCTGATGAATGGCCGCGTGGAATTTTTAGACTGGACAATCAAACCAGATCAAATGCAGACACTTGTACCATTGTTCGGACTGACGTTTCTCGTTCTCTTCGACGTTGCTTTATATCCGTTACTCGCTAAGGTTGGCATCCGGAAACCTTTACAAAAGCTCACGTTGGGCGGTGTCTTGGCCGTCATAGCATTTACAATCGCAGCCCTACTGCAGTTTAAAATTTTTGTAAGACTCGAGCTCGGGMATTTTATTTTTTTTCAATCCATATTCCATACATAATAAACAGGTTTGTTTTTTTAGGGTGACAACACTGAGATACCGTCTGGACAAGGTCGCCTAAACATTTACAATGGATTCGATTGTAAAGTATTCGTACGCTCGAGGACGTTAGACGTACAAGATCACATCGGTCCTCTGGAAATGATCAACGTTACTCATACAGTCGTGTCGCGGGATGACATCTTCATCACATTAGAATTTGAACCCGAGTGCTCATTTGTACCAGATAACTACGAGTTCGATACCACCGTGACGATAATCGAAGGAGAGGTAAAAATTGTGTTGTAATATAATATTATACGTTTTCATTAATGACACTTAAACTATTCTTCTATCATCTATGCACTTATTTACCATTTTTAATATAATATAAGTTTACGCTTACAGAACAATATAATTATTTRTTTTGTTTTTTTCATTTCATTGGCCAATATCAATGCGCATTATATTATTAAATATTTTATAATATATTTAATAGTATAAGATTATAATATCAATAATATTTTCATATACCTAAAATGAAATACTCGTATGCGAAGCTGAACAGATCAGGTTCAAATATATTTAYAATTATAGTACAAGTCTTGTTTACGAMGAGACCATTTACTTGAAAAAATTTAATTTATTGTTATTCATTTTTTATTATTAATTTAATGGGGTTTTATCTTTTTCTGATATTTGATCATCATATTTTTTCTTAATGCTAGGTGAATTCTTATCACTTGGTCAATTCAAATCCGAATACAATCACATTAAACAACGTTGGCATTAGTGACAGTTTGGTTAAAGAAAAATTTGGAAATCCTAACTTGAGGTGTGTATCTATACGTCATATTGTCTGTTTCACTATTACCTATACAATACTATCCAAATTAAAATACGAAAACGAATAATTTTAGAATTTTTATCGATTACACATTTGATTTCGACGATAATATCACTTTGACTAGTGCAGATCAAAACTCGTTTACCTCGTACTCTCTCTCTCAATTTCGAGGGATGAACTTTAATGCTGTTAACGTGGGGAAGTAAGTAACGAAATATATGTTTATACCATTACAATTATGAATTTAAAATAATTTAATTTAAACATAACATGTCTATAACAGGTATAATTTAGTGTACAATGGAAAAGTATTGGACATTCCACCTGTGGACATTATACCAGCAACGTTTTATACACTCACTTTGCAACGAAATGGCGATAAAATGGTAAAATTTGATAATATGCTCAACCTGAACATTGTAATTTATAAACTACAAGCAAATATTATGTGAAAAGGAATTTATATAGGATGTGCGATTATTTACCGAGAATGAAGGAAACTATATTCACATTCTGTGGCAGCTACCACAATATTTGTGTATGATTATTGCAGATGTCATATTTGTGGTCACKACATTAGAATTTTCGTTCACAGAGGTTGGTAAAATTTGTCTTATCAAATAATATCGTCTATATTTAACATAATATTGTATTAATTCTATGACACATTCCGGATACATTTACCTAAGCGGATACGTTTTTAATTATTTTTATACTAATATACTAACAGATTTTAACGATTTTGAATTTATTAAGTTTTATGATTTTGAAATTTATTTAATACAGCTCGTCTATACCGATGGACTAGTACTGAGAGCTAAAGTTGGCTCGAAGGAAATAGTATTATTTGAATCACGTGATTCACAAAACTATATTAATGGGTGGGTGTCCTATGGATGAAATGKGTAATTTGAACAATTTTTAATAGTTATTTAACCACTGATAACCTATGAGTTTTTGGGTACTGCAAAAATATTAAATGTAAGTAAGTCAAGGAAAAAAAGTTCAAGTCGTTACCGGTAAGAGTAACCTTTGAGTCGATTTAATAATTTTTAATCCATGTTTAACATTACGAAACCAGAAATATGGAGTTCACTAGTTCAGTATTACTTAAAATAAATAACATTTTTTTATTGTTTATGGTATAGGCCCCGATAAACATAAAGTCATTCATATCTGCTGTAAGTTTACTGACAACGGCATTGGGAAATTTGTTGGTCGTAATCATATCGACAATATCGATTAAGAATCAGGTTAACTGTGAATAATTTGTTTTAATTAAGAAATACACTACAGGTAATAATATTTATAACCTTTTTTTCGTTTATACTTAAAGGCACACGAATATCTTCTCTACTCCGGTATCATGCTTGCTGATACGCTGTTATTGGCCTATTTCAGTATTGTTTATCGGAGTAAGAATACCAACGAAACTACGGCAATGTCACATACCGAATACAAAAAGGAAGAAATTACTGTTTTCGACTGAGCTATTGTATTAAATTCCGCTTACTTTACGCCCAAACTCGAAAAATTTATATTCCATGTTGGACTACATTGTTTTAAAACGTATTGTAATATTAATAAATTACGCGTTCTGAAACCTATTATTGATTTACAAATTATTATAGAATCAAAAAATATAATTACATTATATTATTATGTATGTATATGGTCATATGGATACGTTACAGATTTGGAACTCAAAATTCGTCAAAACTGATTTTAACTATAGGTAGTTAAAACTTGAATTAACCACAACTCTCAAAGTTTAAACTAGTTAAAGCTTTTTTTATTTAGACATTTTAACTTGGAGTTAATTGTAGTTTTAACCACTTTAAATCAATCTCGACGGAWTTTGGGTTTTAACTGTAACATATATATAAATATAACTATTTATCTGTATATTTCTTTTTTTAATGTAACTATGTACCTATAATAATATTAATATATTATGTATTATACTTGATGTTTTTTCTTTGCAAATCTGTTTGAAAAAATAACCTTAAAATTTAAATTATTTTATTTTAAAAATAAAATATTTAGTTTTAAATAATAGATCAAAGGATAGGTCAAATGTACAAACTGCTCGCAGATTTTTTAAACAGTTGTTTAAGCTGTTTTGACCAAGTATCATAAAATACGATTAAAATTCGAAATTCAATACTATCACAATAACTATTTTCTTACTGAATCTGTTGACGAACATTTATAATAACAATCGTAAGCTTAGTATTTGTTAAAATGTCATCCGTTTTATGCTTTTTATTTTATAAGATAAAGTAAATATTATATTTATATTACGAGTAGTTATAGCTGATCTTCCAGCATATGGCATGGCCTCTGAAAAATTAATGATAATGTCGKTGAATTTTGTCGTCCGTTAAATGTAAACAGTAAGCTACACAAATATTTCAACACATTCATATTTTGGTTATGGTTTTGAGTTTTTGACTGTTTATAAAATAACATAAAATAACAAGTCTTAAATTATATTCTGAAATTATAGTAAGTATTTGATTTTATTTACCAATAAATGAATTAAGTAATAACCTAAAATATTCACGAGACAATAAATCCCTGTTAGCTTCTCATTAAATTATAAATTTTAAAAAATTTGTTACAAATTACACATCTTTGGGTACCTACTACCTATACACCAAATTTCAATACAGCTTGTCTGTAACACTTTGTAATAGATTGCCACACACACACACACACACTCTCAAATATTGCCTTATGTGCATATATAGATAATCTTATCATTTGTTGTTCAGCAATCGCTATATATATTGTTGCAAACTTGAATTTTAGTTTGGTGTAACTGTTTAAGGAAAACCACTTTCCTTCCACGCGTATAAGATATTATATATAATATGTATAGACGTGATCCGTACAGCAGTTTAGTAGATAAACGTAGATATTATAATAATAACAGTGCTGCGGTACTATAACTTATCGTGAAATTATATGTTCACACTTTGTATGGTCGTATCGCTTTTAATTTCAAAAGGTATAAACCTGCAATTTTCTCAGGTACCTATAGGTAGATATTTTAATAAGTTTACTGTCTTATACCATTATTATTATTGTAGCCCACCGAGTCGAATGGTCCTTTGGTATAACTGACACAGATACTAATCACACGCGGTGGGTAATTCAAGCGCAGTAGGTGAGGAGGGGGGCTTGGGGGCTTAGCCCATATAAACTTATAAACTCGTATATTAAAAATGATAATACATTATGATGTACGTCAAACAGTAAAATGCTGCGCAAAACAAACACGTACTCAACGACAATGCCATCGACTTGATCAGATATAACAGACATAACCAACGATAACTTCAAAAAACGTAAGAAATATTTGTAACTTTTACTTGTTTTGATGTTCTGTTAAGTGAATTTACGTTTTATTGTCAAATTGTATTTATGTTTATATTCGATACATTTAATCGTGGATAGCTTTGTCTGGATAAACGCAACGAATCTGATCCATAGAACTCGTATTCTACAGACCAATGAGATGATTGCTCGATGTTCTGATCATTTATTTTTTGCACGTCTGTGAAACTATCGATAAAAAAATTCTATAGTTCATGTTATCATCATAGTGTATCGTCTACCCTTATTTTATCCTTTTACAAGGTAAGTTTTGAATAGGTGTTATCACAATATTTACGATATATATATCACACTCGATCATCGTGTCGAAATGTTTATATAAGTCTTTAAAAAAAAAATCTCAAAGCTTTATTATAGTAAGTAGTAGGTACCTATATAAATATATTTTTACAGAATTTTATTGAATTTAAGATTTATATAATAACATAATATTATATTTTATGTCCATGTAATAGGTAGAAAATGATCTCTACGGGTTCTTCGTAACGATGGGACTTTGATAGTTCGCGACGACTAGCTAATCGGTGAAGATTATAGTATAATCGACCTCTATAAATAACACTCGATCTTCTATTTGTATTTTCACCCAACAATTTAAAATACAGCGTAWAAAGTAGATGATACGATAGTTCCGATGGCTTATAGTATTATACAGGGTGTAACTTAAAAAACCTGACAAATAAAAAAACAAAATTTAAATGACAAAAATTATGAAAATAATATGGATAATTAATAGTTTTAGAAACATACTTATTTCGGAATATTATCCTAGAGAATATTTCGAAAAATGTATTTTATTTCAAATGAATAATGCTACAAAAATTATATCGATTCATATAAATAAACTTTCACACTTCGATAACATTTTTACCATCAAAATTTGTCTAAATATCAGATTTACAAATTGGCTATTTTTAATTTTTTCAGAAATATTAAAACAAGTTTAGCTATTGGTTAGAACAAAAGCTATTTAATTTGTCAGGTGTTTCTATTACATCCTTTATGTTTATGTTTGACGCAATAATCCCTAACCAGATTAACAAGAGTTCAATTATCATTCGAGTAATAAAATATTAATGTCATTGAAGATATATTAYCATRCACGTGTTATTTACATTATAAAAAGCTAGTATGCTATAGAAGTACTATATTTTTTTCTCCTACATTGGGAGTTGGKAAATCATATAATATAGATATATTTTACTATATTGCAGGTATCTAGTAGTAGCATGCTACATTTTGTTAGGTTAGGTATAATATATTCAATTTTTTTTTTATTGTTATATTTGATTAGTGTTTTTATATGGGTAGATAACAATAACCAAAGCGTTTCGATAATCGGTAAGGAAAAACATGTTATTCCTAACCCAAAAACATATTGTGTTTAAAAGAGAACATCACATATCATTGTAAAACCAAATATTATATAATATACGTTCAACGCTTAGTTGAGAATCTAAAATACTATTATACGACTAAATAATTGATACAGTATACGACSTACCACCTACCGAGTAGGTACATTATGTTGTGTTGCATAATCAAAACGAATAATATGGTCTGGCGTGARGAACTGAGGTAATTTACACTTTGAAGTAGGTATCTACCGGKTTGTGYCCAGGAAGGGGGAGGTTAAGGGTTATATACCTTTTATTTGTGTCTTAGGTATTACCACCAAAATTCACATACATTTATTATTAGTTATAACACCCTCACCCCTCCGCATTGAAAATTAATGGGTACGACAGTCTATTACTRCACAAAAAAATAAAATGATTTAAATCAGATTCAAAAAGTTCTAACTAAATTAATAATATATATTCATATATTCAAAGTAAAAAAAGTTTACGCGTGAAACATTTTAATTCTAGAAATAATATTTTAGTTTTTAAGGATTATTTTATCAGCAAATGCAGTAAAATMAAATTTCCGGGGAAGTTGTGTAACTGTGTTCTATGGAACTTTTTTAATACTACATAATATAACTTCGTATAGTTTAGTACTTATAGTACTTACGGTGAAAAGTTATTCAATTTTTAAGTTAAAAACGCTTTCCTGAACAATAATTACAAAAATTACGTTAAAACCTTTTCATTCAGAAACGACGATTGGGTATTTTGATGACTGAATAACGTAATAATTATTAGTTAAGTAGCTTAAGGTTTGATTCTATAGCCTATTTCGAAACCGCTAATTTTTTTTTTTTGCAATTTATAACATAGCAGGTTCTAGTTAATCTACGATGCACTCTGTATAGTTTAACAAATTGTGAATATTAATCAAGTAAAGCCTTATTTAGTTAGTCAATCAGTTTTTTGATTATTATTATTATTTTTGMCTAATATTTTTGATTTCAGTTTTATTCGAGATAGTATAGCTTTTATTTTAAACATATAATCAATCTATAATGCGATAAGCTTATCGAAGTTCAAAATTCAATTCCTGATAGTCGATTTATAATTTTATCGCYCGTATCTAACATAATAATTGGTACCAACTACCAAGTATTAAAAAGTATAATGATCTATGACTACATATTCTTTCTCATAAATCCTTTTTAATCAGTTAATTTAAATGTTTAGTAAAATGTAGGTACTTATTATTTTATTATATACCTTGACGGCTTGACAACAATAACAATTGCAATACAACTGAAGGTACTCGTAAAAAAAATTGTTATTCATATTTTATTACACAAATTAAATTTAGACATGGATAATGTGTGTCGTGGCATTCAATTCATGGATCAAAATGGATTATTTCCTACCTATAGTGTTATACTATAAATGCACTTGCACATTTATGATTTTTAACAAGTACACTGTGCGCGTACTTGTGCTCTGCGACACTCAACAATAGTAGTAATATAATCATTTCAAATAATTAAATTATATTAGAATCACCACTGGCCGTTGCTGTTACGTACTATATTTTATTTTTAAGAATAATATCACATTCATTACAAATTACTATAAAAGTTTGAATAGACAATAAATAATAATTAATATGTCTCAATTATTTCACTTAATAGTATTTGTTCTTATAAAAATATTTATTAAATGCAGGATATGAATTTACGTATAGGTAATAAATAAAAATGAAAAACTGATAATTTATTTAATATTTAGGGGTTACCTGTTTCCGCCAACAGTAGAAAAAAAATTCAAATACATTCAAATATCAACTTATTGATTTAATTGA